TTTAAAGCACAAAATGCCATGGAGTTAGTTGGGACACAGGATACGTTTGTTGAGTAGGTGTTTTGGAGAAGGTAGGATGGATAACAGACAGACATAATTTCAGAAATTAAATTACCATCTCACAAATCTTGAAGAGTTCTTCAGATCCTCCTCAAGTAAGCCCCTAATCATCTAGTGATGTCGGGGATATAGAATGGAAATGAGGCTTAAACTTACAGGATTTGAGAGTCAGAAAAAAAATTTCAGGGTTTTTTTTTTTTTTTTTTTTTTTTCCTTTTTACATCTTTGTAAAGTGTTGTCCTGCTTTTACTCAAACCTTAAGTGATAGGCTTCCTAAAGATAGCTCTTTTTCATTGTTGGACAGCTTTAATTACATCTGAAATTTGTTTCCATTACTTTGGAAGTTTTTTTGGTTAATATTTATCCATCTAGAGAAAATCCAAAGATTGTCGTCTAGGCATAAGGCACAAATAATGAAACGTTAAACATTGTGACACTGGGTGGCCTTTAGTTTTTCTAGTGTCTGTGCTTCTCTATGTGCATGGTCCGACACAGTAGCCACTAGCCACATGTGGCTATTACTGTTCTGGATTGTAGTGAACTTACATTATGATGAAATTCAGTCTCTTAAGATTAGCCTCATTTTTTTCCTTAGAGTGGATATTCTTTTTTTTGCTGGCCGGTATAGGGATCAAACCCTGGACCTTGGTGTTATCACACCATACTCTAAACAGCTGAGCTGACTGGTCAGCGTAGAGTGGATATTCTTGTATGTTCTTGAGCTTTTTGGAAAAAAACTGAATTGGTTAAGCAGCAAGTATTACTTGAAGACTTACTCCACATTCATCTCTGTTGATGCCTTAGTCATTGGTTCTCTGACTTCGGTGTGCATCAAAATAACCAGGAGAGCTCATTTAAAGAGATCACTGGGCCCCCACCGTTTCTGATTCAGTAGGTCTGAGATACTGAATTTCTACTAAGTTTCCAGGTGATGGGCTGAGATACCAGGCAAAATCAATATAATTTAGTGACTTGGAACATTTAAAGGGCAAAAGAGGTGAATGAGTCCAAGACAACTGATTGGTATTGAGCTTCAGGTCCTTAAAGAACAGTGGTGGTAGTGAGAATGGATATGCCGAGTCGGTTCTGGTGAATCATCTAAACAGAAATGTTTTGCTGAAAGTTGGAGACATAGGAGTGGAATAGAGATGAGTAGATATGAGTGTAGATACCAATTCTGAGGTCTTAACAGAAGTGATGGCTTTAAGAATGAATAAGCTTTCTAGGAGAGTTTTAAGAGAATCAAATATGAACTATTAGGGACTGCTGCTAAAATGTCCATAGGAACAAAAAGGGAAGCTAAAAATCAGGAATATTTCAAAAGATAGAAAGAAAAACCAAGTACCCATGCACAAGAAGAGGGAGTTTCAAGGAAGGGATAGACAGTACAGTTAAATGCAACAGGGAATGAGGACAGTGTATCCTTGATGTTGGTAGTAAAGTGGTCAATAACTGTCTTACACATAAAACATTGGCAGTAAATGTACCAAAATATTTATGGTGGTTATTTCTGGATGGCTGATTACAGGTAAACTTTTTCCTTTAAACTGTGTGATTCTCAAATTTTCTTTAATAAACACACAGTGCTTTTATTATTTAAAAAATTTTGTTTCCAAAAAGCCACTGGTGACCTTCAAAAAGGCATTTTTTTTAAGTGGAGGAGTAGTAACAGAAGCTAGATAACAGAGGCTTCTGGAGTGAGTAGGTAGTGAGAAAATGGGGGCGGTAAAAGAAAGGAGAACTAGGACAAATAGTCAAGTAAAGATGTTTTGTTTTAATATATTAAAAATAACCATTATAGTGCTTATGCTTTTTCCTGTTATTCTTATGTTGTTCAATAGATATCTCAGATCTCAGTAAAGATATCTTGCTGTCCTCGCCTTAAAGTTCTTCGGCTGGAAGA